GGCCGTATGCATGCAGGGGTCCGCGTACCCTGAATGGTTTGCCAGCGCCGAGGTTGAAGCCGACGCGAACCTGTGTGGCGAGGCCAATGCCCCACCACAAGCCCCACACAAACGAAAACACTGCACGCCAAGCAGAGGAGACAGGGGGGGGGCAGAACAATGGTTGTGGGAGAGCGTGTGAGTGTGTGGGTGTGAGTGAGAGAGAGAGAGAGAGTATGTGTGTGTGTGTGTGTGTGCATTGTTGACGTACGGTTGAATACAATGCCAAGAGCAGCGACGTCTGTCTCGGAGAGGCGTCCAGCCATCAGCACCAGCGCCTGCACACACACACACACACACACGTACGAACACATACGAACACACATGTACAAGAATGCAGTGAGGTGAGCAGAGAACAACGACTAAGCACTTGAACACTTGAGCACGTTGCTGCATAGTGTGTGCGTGTGTGTGTGTGTGTGTGTGTGTGTGTGTGTTGCGTGCGGCGACTTGTACCTGGAAGACGCTTTGAGCAGAGAACAACGACTAAGCACTTGAACACTTGAGCACGTTGCTGCATAGTGTGTGTGTGTTGCGTGCGGCGACTTGTACCTGGAAGACGCTTTCATCAAAGACAAGTGCGAGGCCGCTTGGGAGCGAGAGCTGAAGGAAAATCACCAGGGGATGAGTTGCACAAGCACAAAGCGCAGCGTTAGACACGTGCATAGTAGCACCCTTCATAGAAACACACTTACACACACACACAACCACACAAGTTACACGTGTGCATGTGCATGTGGTGTTGCTACCTTCATGAAAGCGATGACGCGGGACGTTGTGACCTCCTTGAAGTGCCAGCCAGGCCACGTCGGCACATGCAACTTCCGATACCACATCCTGCCAAGATGGACGGGAACGACCAGCCGGGCGTTGGGTGCAGTGTGCGCAAATGTGAAAATGTGTGTGTCACGCGGTGAACGCTAGCATGTCAAAACCTAGTCACACACACACATACACGCACGCCCACACATACACATACACATACACGCACACACACACGCCCACAGTCTCACACACGCACCCAGGCACATGCAACCAAACTCAGTGAACAAGCAAGCCACGCGCGAACATGCACGCACGTGTACGCGAAGAGGGTGAAGAGCTGGAAGATGGATGTGGCAGTGGATGCCAGAGGACTGCCAACGAACCCTGGCGTGATGGTGATCACGATCGTGGTTGGCGGTGAGTCGTGGATGATTGGCATTGCATTCGCGCCACGTGCAGTGGTGTGAGAGTAAGAGAATGAGAGACCAAGAACAAGAACAAGATATCCACTGCATTTCACATTTACGACTCCTGCACGCGTGCATGCACGTACACGTGTACACAGGTATCTGCGCAGCTTACCGAGGCCGCTCCAGCCAAATGCGCCGTGAATGAGCAGCTGATGACAAAGAGAGAAACAGAAGCACGCAGCAGAGCAGAATGAGTCAGGGTGTACGTTGGACGAGCCAGTCGTGAACAATGTTGCAAGACAATGTTGCAAGACAAGCGCGCGTGTATGTGTGTAGGTGTATGTATGTGTGTGTATGTGTATGTGTGTATGTGTGTGCGAGCGTTCACATGCTGTGACGCCCTCTATCCCCCGGGTCCGCGCTACTGCCCAGTTGCCACTGCGCGCGTCGATGCCGTGCGTATGCGCGGCGTCACCTGGTTGAATCCAAGGTTGACGAAGATGGCGAAGAAATTGACAACAGCGGCCGGAACCACAATGTCTTGAACCTGTGCACACACGCAAAGGACGGGGGGAGAGGGAGATAGGCAGACAGGCGCACACAGACATACACACACACATACACGTACAGAGAAATACACGAACACACACACACACACACACACACACACACACACACACACACACACACACACACACACACACACACACAAACAGACAGACACGCAGACGGGGACATGGTGTGAATTTCTGTGTGTTGTTTGCGACGACCAACCACACATGCGCCAAAGACAGCAAATGCATCAAGGGGCGTCAAGGGGGCATTTGAGTGGTGGGCGGCACCTGGTAGTATTGGCACGCGGCCGCGTAGACGCCGTTTGGCCAAACCGTCAGCGCAGACCACCTGAGAGTACATTGCACAGTAGTGTTGATAGGGGTCACGAAGCGGTGAGGACACGCGTCTCGCTCATGCACACACACACGCGCGCGCGCGCAAGAAGCTACAGGCACACATATGAACACGCAAGCGCACACAAACACGGGCGCGACCTTGCAAAGAGCGTGGCAAAGCGAATGACGTCTTCGTTTTCCTCAACCAGGCCCACAAGCTGCAATAGAAACATACGCACAAACACACGTTCGCACGCACATGATAATGCGGTGAGTGAAACAGCCGTGCCACTCTTCACAATCAACACACACACACACACACAACACACACACACAAGGCACAATCGCAATCGCATGACGCGCCACGATGCTTGCGAAAAGCGCTCACCTGTCCCGCAAACCAGAAGATGAGGATGACGGGAATAGAGAGAACCGTGGTGCCAACCAGGGACACCTGCACACACACACACGCACACGCGGAGAAGTGACATGGGGATGTGAGGTGAGGTGAGGGTGTGCTCATGCAAGCATCGCAATCCATGATACGACGGGCGCGCACACAAACAAAAACAAGAAGAATGCACAAACACACACACACACACACAAGCACACACTCACACCTGGAACCAGGTGCCGACGAGCAAGTTGTTGCCGGCGCCGTGGGCCTGCGATGCGAGCGTGTTGATGGTGCTCGCCATGCCATACATGAACAGCGTCGCAAGCTGTGATGGACAAGAGGACAAGCGTTGCAGTTGAAGGAACCAGAGAATACTCGCGTGAGATCAAAAAAACGCCATTCTGCACGCTCACCCACTTTCAAAACACACACACACACACACACACACACACACCACACACACACACACACACGGACTTGACCACAACAGCATGTTTGTTGCAGACGCACAATCATGAAGGCCTGTGCGAGGGAGCTGCCGGCAAGCTGGTTCGTTCCAAGATGGCCAAGAAACGCCGTGTTGGTGGCCAGGATAGCGAGACTGTTGCCATGGCGGTAGATGCAGGCGCACGTGACATCGAATAACGTGAGTGAGTGAGTGAAAGAGTGAGTGAGTGAGTGAAAGAAGGGAGGACGCAAAGGCGTGTGCAAAAGCAACGCCAACACAGACACACAGACACACAGACGCACAGGCACACCACACCAACCTGAAGAGGGTGGTCAGGGATGTCATGCTAGCGAGGCGGCCGATGCTCTTGAGCTCCTTGATGATGATTTTGCGCCTGTTGGGTCGTCGTGTACGGCCACCGCGGCGGCGGCCAAACCCATCCTCGGCGCCGTCAAGATACGCAATCTCCTTGGTGACCATCTTCGCCGTGAGCATCTTTGACGATGGGCTGCAGGCAGTGCGTGGCGGTGTAGCGAGGGCGGCGCCAATCATGCTGTTGCCGCCGCCATCAGGGTCCTTGGCGTGATTGGGCGCCGGCCACGCCGCATCGAGAGAGTGGGACCTTGCGCGTTGCCGCTCGCCCAGTGCCGGCGCGAGCGCATGCGGCGGAAACGCGTTTGGCAGGGGAGACGCGTTCGAGGAAGGCGAGCACAACGAGGAGGACGAGGAGAGCGCCGATGAGTCGGCTGAGGAGGAACGCGAGGATGAGGGTGAGGCGGCGAGAAGAGGGGTGGACGAGGTTGACGAAGGCGGCGGCGTGTGGTCGGCGGTGGCCGAGTCTGCGCGGGAGGAAGCAATTGACTGGCGACGATGGATGCTTAAGGGAGGAAGAGGCGCTGCTCGAGCCACTGGTCCACGAGCGATGTGGTGAAGTGGCCGGCGCGCCTCCCGTGTATTGAGAGGCTCGATGGTAGATTCCCCTTGTTGACTTGCGTCGTCATCGTCAGATGAAGGCATGGTGTACGGCGTGGGCGCAGTTGGGAGTGCTCGACCATTCAGATGATTTGACCCGAGTCAGCAACGTTTGAAGAAAACCAAGCAAGTCACTGAGGAACCAACGAACCAAGCAGTCGTCAAGGTTGTGCGAACAACACAGAGCTTGCTGCACTTCTAGCTTGAAGCGAACCACGCGTCAGAGCACAAAACCAAAACAAAACACGCAACAACAAACAAGAGTGGCGGCTGTTGTCGATGACGTGCGCTGGTGTAAAGTCAAGCGGGGGGGGGGGCTTTGTCGCACGCAAAATGGAAAGGAATTGACAAACCGAATCAACACACACACGCAAACGCAAACGCAAACGACGCTTGCACTTGAAAGGCAGTCACGGGAGAGAGGGGGGAGCCAATGGTTCGTTGGGCAGGGCACACTCAAGGCGGCGCCAATAAACAGAACACAAGAGAGGTAGCGGCAGGGATACAGCGGCGATCGCGATCAGAAGGAAAAGGAAAGCGCCACACACAAACAAACAAAACGGCAGGAGATTGTGTGACTACCTTTTGTGCTGTCGTCAACGAGTCTGAGTTGTGGCCGCTGGCTCGCTCGCTCGCTGCAACACTCCCACCTCCACCTCGCCTCCACGTTGCACCCCAAAGCATCATGGGCATCTTCAACCCTGATCCGTACGATCATTTGAAGGACCCGCCGTTGTGGAAGAAGGACCTACGGCGGTCCAAGCAGTCGTCAACTTCCTATGTACAACCACTGTCCATCTTTAGACAGGGGCTCTTCTCCGTCTGGCGCTACTCCATCTGGCAGGTGCGTGTGTGGTTGTGTGTGGTTGTGCGTGTGTTTGTTTGCATGTGTGTGTGTGTGTGTTTGTTTGCATGTGTGTGTGTGTGTGTGTATGCGTGAGTCTGCACGCCTTGTCAGTGCACTTCCCCAGCCTACACTCCTTTGCCAGTGTACTTTCCCTTGCGTGCACCCGCGTCTGCACCCGCGCCTGCACCCGCGCCTGCACCCGCGCCTGCTCGTCATCCTGTTCTCTCACACCATGCATGCGCTCACACCCCCACCTTCGCATCACAACTCCATTGCAGGCTGTGGTGCCAGAGCTGCTGATCTGGCTGCTGATGTACGGCATCGTCGGAGCCGTGTACCGTCTGTCCGATGACCATGTGCAGTCCCGCATGGAGGCGTTCTTCTCCTACTGCAAGAGCTTTCAGGGCTTGATCCCCCTCACCTTTGTGCTGGGCTTCTACGTCACACAAGTCTACGGGCGCTGGTGGAGCCAGTGGCAAGCCATCCCTTGGATCGGCAAGATTGCCATTCTCATTCACGACATGGACGACCGTGATGGCCCAGAGGGGTGAGACGCCACTGCCGTGTGTGACCGCTTGGCAGTGCTGTCTATGTGTCTGTTGTTGTTTGCTTTCTTTCTTATTTTTATTTTTTTTTTGGCCTGCCTGCTCTGACATGTGCTTTGGATGCTTCACTCTGCTGCTGTTCATCTCTCCGCATGCATATATGCATACGCTTCAATGCTGTGCGCACGTTCCAATGCTGTGCGCACGTTCCAATGCTGTGCGTGCGTTCCAATGCTGTGCGTGCGTTCCAATGCCTTGCTTCTCGTGCGTCTCATGCTCACACCACCACCATTCCCACTCGTTCACCTCCACGACAACCACGACAACCACCACAACCACAACCATCACCACCACTCCCCGCTTTTCCTCGCCTTTCCTCGCCCCTGGCAGCCTGCACGTGCGATGGACGTTTATGCGGTGGATCCTGCTCGGCATGGGCATCACCTTCCAGCGCATCTCCACCAGCTTCCGTAAGCTTTACCCAGACCTGCAGAGCTTCATGGACGCCGGCCTGCTCACCCACGAGGAGCGGGAGCTTTTGGAAACGTGCGAGGCGCAGGTGGAGATTTGCTATCTGTGGGCTGGGGAGCTGCTTCGCCGGGCCGAGCGCGACCGCCCGCAACACGTCGTCTCCTCCTCCCATCTCCGCCTCCTCAGGACGGTCAGTGGCAACGCAAGCCGTGGCTGAACGTTGGGTTGTGTGTGTGTGTGTGTGTGTGTGTGTGTGTGTGTGTGTGTGTGTGTGTGTGTGTGTGTGTGTGTGTGTGTGTGTGTGTGGTGGCCAGGGGGTTATTTGTGCATCTGTCTGTCTGTCTGTCTGCATGTGTGTCTGTGAATCTATCTCTGTGTGTGTGTCTGTAAATCTATCTGCCTGTCTGTCTCTCTGTGTGTGTGTGTGTGTGGATGACTTGACTTTGTGCCTCCAAATGAATTTGCATCTCAAACGCTCTTGTGTGTGCCCCGTGTCTCGCTTACCCTCTGATCCACCCGTCCGTTGCTTCCTTCTTCTTCTTCACACCACACAACACACAACACACACAACACGCAACACGCCGCAATCAGGAGCTGGTTGCGTGGCGCACGTCAAACGCCATCCTGCGTGGCTTCAACAACCACCCCATCCCGATTGTCATGGTGAACATCATTGGCTTTGCCGTGTACTCGTACTTCCTTGCGGCCGTGTTTGGGCGCCAGTTCCACCTCAGCAACGAAGCTGCTCCCTCATCCTCCCCGCGATTGCGTAATGGCGAGACTGTGGACTACTACCTCCCTTGGTTTGGCATGATGGAGTTTATCTTCTTCGTAAGTCGCTTCCGCCACCTGTTCCTGTGCAGCTAATGTGGTGTGTTGGTCTGTGTGTGTGTGTGTGTGTGTCTGTGTGTGGTCATGTGTGTGTCTGTGTGTGTGTCTGTGTGTGTGTCTGTGTGTGCACATGTGTCTGTGGTTGTGTCTGCCTGTCTGCCGACCTGTCTGTCTGTCCGTGGCTCTGCCTGACGATCTATCTGTCTGTCTGTTTGTGTGAGCGTGTCTGACAATCCTCCCCCCCCCACACACACACACACACGCACACACGCACACGCACGTTCCCGTTCCCACCATCCACTCCTCGCGTTCCCAACATCCCACCACCTCTGTCCTCCCCCCCCCCCTTTGCTTACAGGTTGGCTGGTTCAAGGTGTCTGCGATGATGTACGACCCCTTCTCCGCGCACGGCTGCGAACATGTGTTGAAACGCGTTTGGGACGAAGAAGTGTCGTGGGGCCGTCAGGGCGCCGCGTTTCGCTACTGGAAACACATGCCATCCATGGACGCGCCCCTTGGCATGGACGCAACCTTTGGCCACATCCCCTTTGGGCTGGAGCCGACCAAGGCCACACCGCTGCTCACCAGCACCGAGATTGAAGAGGAGGTTGGCCTTGGTGACGAGGCTGGCACGTACATGCACCACCGCAAGACCATCACTCAGCGCCCGTTTGGGCCACCCATGATGCAATCCACAGCATTCCGTGCACACGTGACGCAAGATTCGCTGGACCGAACGCCCACACGCCCCAATGACAGCAATGGCAACAGCAGCGGTGGTGGTGGCGGTGGCGGTCTGCGGGAGCCGCTGCTGGGAAACAACGAGGAGCTCATTGACACGGGCGAATGACCACTCGTGTAGCATTGTCTGTGTGCGTGTGTGTGTGTGTGTGTGTGTGTTTGCTATCTCTGTCTTGTGTTTGTACGTGGCTCTCGACTGTTCTTTGTTGCTGCCCGAGCTGTTCCTGCGCTTTCGCTCTTTCTTGTGCTCTTCTCCCTATTGTTCGCTGGCGTTGATGGTGGAACGCGCGTGTATTGTGGCGACGCTAAACGAGTTTACCTTGACATACACACACACACACGCACCAACGACAACATGCATCACATTCATATGTACAGCGAATCCACACAATGATTCCATAAGACCACAAGTCGCACACATGCACACGCACACGGACTCAGACCCGGACAAGACACAACACCCAACAACAAGCACATGCCCGTGCTATGTGATTTTCCTGTTGACGTTCTTGTATCCCACGCCAACACACGATGCACTGCAGCGACCAAATCAAAGGCAGTGATGGTGGTGGGGATGATATTGGGGATGGTGAGGGGAGCTGGGTTTGCGTGCAAAACATAGACATGAAACGATACAAGATACAGTCAAGCGCGAGGCAACAACGAGAATCACGTACAAGCACACATCCAACACACATCCAACACACACAACATGCAATGTACACGCAAGTGCGCACCCGAACCCCTCCATTCCATAACAAACAAACAAACACACACACACACACACACACAACGTGTGGCACATACTAGATGAGGTTTGTCTCTGGATCACGACGCAGCTTGAAGGTAACGCCAAACACTTTCTTCAGGTCGCGAAGAAATTGCACGGAGTAGTCGGTCAGCTCGCCAACACACACCTTGGACACGTCCTGCGAGCAGAGCGCCATGAGGGCAAAGGTGACGCACTGGCACTGCCGGTCCGTTGTTCCGCTGCGCTTGATCTCTTCAAGCAGCAAGCGGCTGCACTGCTTGCCTGCAGGCATTCGGGTGGCGAATTTCAGACGTGTTTGTTGAGAAGGGGGGTGAACAAGTAGGTACGTAAAGAAAATGGGTGCGTGGAGGTCGTGGAATGCACCGATTGGTGTGAAGTGGAATGAAGCGAAGTGAAGGGGGAGGGGGGGGGGTCAAGGCGGCATGGGAATGCAATACAACCACACTCACACAACATACAAATACAATCACACGCACACCACACACATCACACCACATGAGCACACACACACACATACACATACACACCACACACATCACACCACACGAGCACATACACACACATACACACACATACACACACACATACACACACATACACACACATATACACACACATACATACACACACACCACGGTCAACGACCCACCAAGCTCCTCTGGCTGCTGGCGAGGCTGCGCCGTGGCCTGTGCACTGAACAGATAGCCCTGCGTCGTCTCCGCAATCAGCGACACACCGTAGCCAGGCGCCCTGCATGTCGCAGTGACGAAGATATTATGGTGTAATGATGAGCGCGCACAGGGTGTGCATGGGTGGGTGACATGGAGAATGTGCATGGGAGAGTGACCTCAAATTGAGCGTGCCCGTACGCGCTGCCACATACGCACATACTCAAGGGCACAAAACACACAAGCTCACACACTCTCTGGCTGTATGCCAACTCACTTTCCGCCCTTGTCCTTGCCAAAGTGCTCGGTGTAGAGAAAGACGTTTGGGATGAAGTTGTTGAGCACCGAGCGCGCGCCGTCCACCACGCGGTTCGACGTGTGCGACGCCGTCAGCGCAGTGTACACTGAAACCCCACGTCATTGGTGGTGGCGATGGTGTGTGTGTGTGTGTGTGTGTGTGTGTGTGTGTGTGTGTGTGTGTGTGTGTGTGTGTGTGTGTGTGTGTGTGTGTGTGTGTGTGTGTGTGTGTGTGTGTGTGTGTACACGAGTCTGTGAGCGTCTGCGTGTGGTAGCCCGACAGCTCTTCCTCTCTCCGGATAAACCTCAACCATTCACCGCCACCGCCACCAATACAACGACACCATCAACCACTACCCATCATCAACCACTAGTCACCACCAACAATACCACCGACCCCCAACAAAACAACAGCGACAAGCAGCGGCTGCCTCACCAATGCCGCGAACGCGCTTGACTTTTCCCGGCAGCAGCGCTCGAAGCGGTGTGACCTGACAACGGTGATGGTGAGTGACGGTGTGGTGGTACAAGGGCGAGGGTGGAGGGGGTGAGAATGGCGTGATTGGCCATGCAGGTGATGGCGGTGTGTCATCACTGGGCACAACAGCGCCACACCACATCGGATGTTGCAGTGCACAGTCCATTCCACCAAATCATCATCATCATCATCATCATCATCATCATCATCATCATCATCATCATCATCATCATCATCATCATCATCATCATCATCATCATCATCATCATCATCATCATCATCATCATCATCATCATCATCATCATCATCATCATCATCATCATCATCATCATCATTCGCACCTGACGGAAGATGGGGCACTGAAACACAATTTCGCCGCCGCCAGCGCTCTGTTTGTCGTCCTTGCTGTCGTCACGGCCACTACCGCGGCACCCGCGCTTCAGAATCTGGCACACGCACGCACATGGATGAAGAACAACAGGGTTGGAGAGGGCATGCCGGAGGGGGGGGTAAGGGTAGAGATGATGTCATGTCAAACAACAAACGTACACGAACACACAATCTCATAAAACAACACAAACGCTTTCGCACGCACACACAAAAAACGCAGCTCAAAAGACCAACACACACACAAAAAAAACGCAGCTCAAAAGACCAACACACACAAAGCTACACGCACACACGCACACACACACACACACATACGCAGCTTCACACACACACACACACACGCACACACACACACAAAGCTACACACACAAACACACACGCACCTTGAGTTCGAGCCCGTCGTCGAGGCCAAAGCGCTGCAGCACGGGCAGCATGGTCGTACGAAGGATATCGACGTTGGGGTCCTGGTCGTCGTTGGTGATGCCAGTGAAGGTGATGTGCAGCGGCTTCTTGCCAAATGGGGCCACATACAGCAGGTGCTCGAGGTAGTAGCCGATAGATCGCGCTGTCCCACAGTTGAACGTCAACTTGCGCCCGTTGACAATGTTGCCTGGCCGGAATGTTACTTGCGTGCCTATGGACAGCATTGCGAAGGTGACAATGTTCAACAACAAGGTGGCAATAAGCACCACCACCTTCAAAATCGCAAATGGAAAAGGGATGCAAGTCACGAGGACCTGGAGTCGCACACACACACACACATACCCACACACATACACACACACGAAAGCACACGAACCTGTGTCGTTGATGGTAATCTTTGTGCCATCTGTAATCTTTTCCATCAATCGGAGGAACTTGACCTCATGGCCTGTCGCAAACAATACATGGAATCGAGTGGATGAGCGATAAACCAGAGGGGCCAGAGAATACACACGAGCTTACGCAGCGATCGGACCGACAAGAAAGGCCCGCAACAAGACGATCCAGCTGAGCATGACGACATTAACAGATTTCACTCGAACACAAACGATGCACGCACGCACACATGCGCGCACACACGCACACACAATGCGACGAACCTCTGACGCCGGGGTTCGCATGCTCTGAACGGATGTTGTTAAAGCGACACGGTCTGCCACTCAGCAGCGACAGCACAATGCGCTGCCGAAAGTAGTTTGACGATTCGTACACGATTGGCTTTGGTTTCTGTGGCGTGTGTGTGGCGTGTGCGTGGGTGAGAGAGGTGGAGGGTGTCATTGCTTGGAGATTGCAAGCTGAACAAGCACCAAAAAGCACCAAAAAGCACCAAATGCGCAACAGCAAATGCACCACACACACGCACGCGTGTACACACGCATGCACATACGCACGCACATACGCACGCGCACGCCCAAAGACACACGCATATGCACAACAAGCACCTTGACCAAAGCTGCTGCTGATGGCGGTGGCATGCTTGCTGGTTTGCTTTCCTTGTTGCCTTCACGTGGGTGGTGGGTTATTACTGGAAGATATGGCGAATCGCCCACAATGCCCACAAACCGCTCGGTGGTCCTGTCAGCAGTCAGCAGGGAAACGACACCGACCCCTCAACGTTCACACACACACACACACACACACACACACACACACACACACACACACACACACACACACACACACACACACACACACACACACACACACACACACACACACACACACACACACACACACACACACACACACACACACACACACACACACACTCAACGTTCACACACACACACACACACAACGTTCACTTACGCACACACACACACATCGTTCACTCGCCCACTGGTTCCCTCTTTTGGAGCTCCTCCCTTTTGTTCCTGCTGACAGGCGCGTATGCTTGAACAGTATGTGCAGCGAGTGGTGGCCGGGTACCTGGAGGACTATGTGACCAACTTTGATGCATCGCAGCTGAACCTGTCGTTCTGGCACGGCAAGGCGACATTGGCCAACCTCAACTTGAACACAGCTGTCCTGCAAGAAACGCTCGAGCTGCCGCCATGCCTTCGCGTGAGCTGCTTCCCTGCGATCACTGTGTGGTGACCCGTGTTGGTCTGCCACTTCCCTCCCATCGTACGAGTGCAGCACATCAACACTCACTCACAATCACACTCACTCACTCACTCACTCACTCACTCACTCACTCACTCACTCACTCACTTACAATCACAAACCACATGGTACTCGCTTGCATGATACACGCTCACTGGCGTTTCTGAATGCATACGCTATCACCCCATTCAACTGGACTTTGGTTGCTGGGGATACAGCTGGCGCATGGGCGAGTTGGCCGCCTCATCATTGAGATTCCATGGACACGCATCGGGTCAGAGCCCGTGGTTGTCACGCTGGAGGATGTCCACTGCACGCTCATGTCCATCGACGCCGATGCCGCGGTGTCCGCCGCCACCTTCACGCACCTGTTGTCATCCCACCCGGCGCGGGCACCCGATGCACCGTCATCGCCTGCAGCGCGCAGCACACCACCCTCGTCCCCTTCGCTGTCCGCGTCGTCGCGGCGTGGGTCCCCACGACGCGGGAGCGCAACCCAGACTGCAACATCGCCTCGTGGCGCTTCATCATCGCCACACAGCAGCAGCAGCAGCAGCAGCAGCAGCGCCAGCAGCCGCCGTTGTCGCGCAAATCCTCTTCGGCCAGCGTCAGCGCGTCTGCCCCTGGGTACCTGCAAAACTTGATGCACACCGTGCTGGCTAATATTGTGCTTCGGGTGAACGGGCTGACGCTGCATGCAAGCATGGACCCGGTCGTTGCGCGCGTTCATGTGCACACGATCGAAGTTATGACGTGCAGTGCAAACTGGAAACCCGCCACGTGTCAGGTAGACGCCCAGCACTTTGCCATGCACAAGCAGCTCAGCTTCAGCGGCATCACTCTCCACCTCGACGAATCACACGTGCGTGTATTTGTGCATGCGTACGTGTGTGTGTGTGTATGTGTGTGTGTGTGTGTGTGTGTGTGTGTGTACGTGTGTGTGCATGTGAATGCTCCAGCCGTCAGTGTGCTTTTTCACTTCGCTGTTTATTCGTATGCTTACATTCAATCACTCTTGTACACTTTGATCCCCCCTTCAGGCTGACAGCTCAGCAAACGTCGTGTATCCGCCCGTGCTGTCGAACCTCAACGTGCATGTTCGCTCAAGGTATGCAAAGGTGTCATGACGCGCTGATCGGGACGTCATTGCTGCAACCGCACATCAACACTCACACACACACACACTCACTCACTCACTCACTCACTCACTCACTCACTCACTCACTCACTCACTCACTCACTCACTCACTCACTCACTCACTCACTCACTCACTCACTCACTCACTCACTCACTCACTCACTCACTCACTCACTCACATGCGCACACACTTGCGCACCTATTGCTCGCGCGTCACATACGCGTAGGCTGACGTTTACGCACGGGTTCACAGCAGGACCGAGCCTGGTGCAAGCAGACGTACACCTCCCCTCCGCCACCATCACCCTGTGCGACCAGCAGCTAACAGCACTGGTCACAGCAGCATGCGACATCGTCGCAGCCATACACACGACAGAACGACATCTGACACGTCTTCACCGGCAGCAGCAACAAGAGGAGGAAGAAGAAGAGGGTGGAGAGGACGCTGGAGATGCTGCTGCCGCGCGTCGTCCTGTGCTGTCCAGTACCCCACACACTACCCCACACACTCGCAACACATTGGCAGCAGATCGCATTCACACCGCAGCGGCTGTAGCAACAGCAACAACAGCAACAACATCAACAACATCAACAACAGCAGCAGCAGCAGCAGCAGTCATTGGGACATCACATGCGACAGCGGACGATCCGAACCGGCAGCGCGCAACAGCAGCGGCGACAGCAGTAAACACGCCATTGGCGGCAGAAACCGCTGGCTCATGGTGGAATCTCTGGTTATGGGGCAATGATGAAGATGATGATGATGATGATGGTGATGATGATGATGATGATGATGACGGGAACGCAACCGGCGACAGTGATGATTGGGCAAATACACATGAACCAGGTATCAATGATGGGGGTGACAGCATAGCAGCACCAAAAACAACAAGGACACGTCAAGGCAGAGCGGCGACAGCACGGGAACAGTCGGTCGATGACGCTGCTGTGATGTTCCAGGGAGGAGTGCACGTGGGGCAGCTGTCCTTGCACCTGACGAGCCTTCAGCAAGTCCTGCGAGACCCTTTTCTCGCCTATTGCCGCGTGCACACGACGCCCTTGCTGTCCTTGCATTTGGCAGGCGCTGGCCTGTCTGCTTTCACGTCTCCATCAACACACCTGCAGCTGACTGCTGGATTCAACACCTTCCGTATCATCATGCCGTCCTTGCAGCCGCCACGGCCTCCACACGCTTCTGCAACACCTGCTGCCACCGCGACTGGGCCGTCCAACGCACAGCACGCAGCAACGGCAGGGCGTGCACGTGCCTCGTCGCACTTGCTGCTGTCCGCGTCATCGTTAAACACCAACATTGCATCAACAGTAGCAGGAGCGAGTATTGATGCTAGTGCTGGTGCTGATGCTGGTGCTGGTGATGGCCACGTCTTTGTCTTCATTGGCCGGCGCAGTGCAAGGTCGAACAACCAACGCAGTGGCGGTCACGGGAACAGCGGCGATGACGATGGTGGAGATCATGATGCGAGGCGCATGGACCGTCCCGCCGCTGATGATGATGATGATGGTGGTGGTGGTGGTGGTGGTGGTGGTCGCCATAATCGTGACGGTAAGGATATGGCAAGCAGTGAAGAGAGTGAGATCGATCACGCCCGACACGCGGGTTCGAACGGGAAGCGAGGTCCAGATGGCAACAGTACTGGTGGCCGTGGCGGTGGCAGTGCCGACGTCGGCAACGGCGCTGCACATCTTCGTGACACGCTGTTCTTCCAAGCAACAGCTTCCACGCCCACTGGAAGGTCCGGCAAACGTTTGCCTGTGGTGCTTGTTGATGCACTCGCACTCTCTGTCTCTCTCTCGCGCGCGCGCTTCTGGCACGAAAGGAGCTCGCATGTGCTCCTCCTAGAAAGTGGGAGGGGACTTGTGACATTTGTTCTTTTCGAATCCTCACACATACACACACGCACATGCGCACTCACTTGGTCACACACGCGCGCACACATGTACACGCATGCATGACGTGCAGGGCGCCATCGCAGCGGTATGGCGGGGTTTCACTCCGCGCCGCGCTCGAAGCCACTGATGACTCACCATCGTCAGCGTCAACAGCAGCAGCGCCATCCCACGGTCATCCACAGCAGCGCAGGCACGTTGGAGGTGACAGAACAACGGCTGCGGCGGCAGCGCGCCGAACACATTTGGATGTGTCGTGCGTTGTTTCCACGTGCGCAGTCACTCTAAATGCTGACATCATGCATGGCATTGACTGTGCCGCGGCAATGGTGGACAAACTGGCCACTGAACTTCGTAGCGGACTCGGAGACACGCTTCATGGCCACCACAGCGGAGACGATGACCAAGACAGGCGTCCGCCACGCCACACCAGTACACCGCGCGATGGCGCCAGTTCACCGCATGCAGCAGACGAAACACTCGACACCAAACACGCTGCACACACTGCACCCAATGATCACGACAACCAAGATGGCGGTGGTGATGACTTTGACGGCAACGGTGCCGAGGACTACGATGATGACTACGCTGGAGATGACGGTGGTGAGCAGGACGTCTCGCCGCCGCCACTGTGGAGCGTTGATCGCCTTCGCTTTCTGAAGCTGACCGGAAGCTTGGACCACTTTGTCGTGTCGTGTGATGCAAGCTGGGTGCTGGCTGCGACCATGCAGCCACAGTCACTCCCTCCACGCGTGCTTGCATGCACAGTTGACAACACCCGCCTGACGGCATCAATCAAAGTCCCAACGCCCCTGGCAGCAGCCGCATTCTCGGCCACAAAGAGCACCTCGAGTTGGCACGATGCGGAGAGTGCAGCCTCCTCGACAGCGCCTTCTTCGTTGCCAGCACCGCTGCGGCTTCCAATCACTGCGCTGGTGCAGTTTGACTGCGAGCGTGTGACTGCTGGTGCCAGGTCCTCCACATCTGTACCGACTGCAACACGCGGGCCAAAGAATGATACAGCACGTGACGAAGCAAACGTGGCGGTGGATGAGGTGGAGCTGGCAGCGCTCACGGCCCGGCAGCTGCGGGTGGCGTGTCGGGTGGAGGTGCACCCACAAGGTCTACTCGATTTCATATGCACAGACGATTCAGACAGCCACAGCGAGTCTACCTGCACTCCCAGGGCCGATGATGGGTGTGGCAGCCAGCATCGGTGGATGCAGTGCGTGCGCACGTGCAACGCTGACATTACGCTTGCACGCGGCGAACTTGACCTGCACGCTCTCATACAGTGCACGCACCGCGAACAACAACAATCGGAAACATTGCTGTGTCCGATTGTGCTGACAGCGTCCGGCTTCTGCCTTGAACTTGTCGTCAATCAAGCTCTGGTGCGTTTGTGTATATGTGTGTGTGTGCGTTTGTGTGTGTGTGTGTGTTGGTGCTGGTGCTGGTGTGTGTGTGTGTGTGTGTGTGTGTGTGTGTGTGTGTCCGTGTCCGTGTCCGTGTCCGTGTCCGTGTCCTTGGCCATGAATGCATGTGTTGTTGAAGCATGGTTATTTGGGCTTCTGCAAATGTGACACCTCGCCCACGCTTGCTCACTCTGGCTGGTTGTGGCGTGGCATCAACAGGCGCTGCGGTGTGGCATCGTGGAACTGAAATGCCAGCGCAGACACCCCTCTCTGCTTGATGGCGAGCAATGCACCCTCTTCCTCATGCCGTGCTCGCCAGCCGCCCATCACTGGCACAACAATGACATTGCTGCGAACGGCCACCAAGCACAGCAGCAGCAGCAGCAGCAACAACAACAACAACAGCAGCAGCAGCAGCAGCAGCAACAACAACAACAACAACAGCAGCAGCAGCAGCAGCAGCAACAACAACAACAACAACAACAACAACAACAACAACAACAACAACAACAACAACAACAACAACAACAACAACCAGAACCAAGCACAGCGCTTGTTGTGACGCTGGAAACAGAATGGCCGTCATCAACCACGGCTGAATGGTCAGGAGCGGGTGGTGGCGATGTGGACCCAATGTCCGTGGAGTCAACCTTCAGACCAAATGTGTTCACCATCACCACCTCTCCTTTCGCGGGTGCACTGGACGCATCGTGCGTTGATGCAGCATGCACCGCTGCCTTTCACGTGCTGGAGTTGGTGTCGTGTGGGCCTGGTCTCGAAGCAGCCGCTTCAGCACCAACGCAAGAGCAGCCGTCCACACCACAGCAGCAAAACGACAGAAACCTCCATAGCAGCGAGCAGCCGCAACAGGAGCAGGGACAGGGTTGGCTGGGAAATCTGTCGCATTGTGTCATGCAAGCAGACCTTGCGTCTGGTGCCCTTGCTGTCGTTCATCACAGCGACGTTTTGTCCCGTACGTCCTTCCTGCCGTCATTAATCCGCCACATACATTCCAACCCCGCAGGCCTCAACAACAACAACAGCAGCAACAACAGCAGCGGCGACAACCTGGGCGGGTTACCATTCGCTGTCGGCTCCGTTGAAGCACCAGTAATGATGGTGATGCATGTGCCGAGTATCACCATCACCCCCAACACCACCACACCACACGTCACACGCATGACGGAGCTGCCGCTGCTGCTAGAGTTGTCACAACCGACGCTGCCGTGGTCCGTCGTCGTGTCTCCCTTTGCTCTGGATGTGTTACCCTGCAGCAACAGGACCCCTGAGCATCGTGCCGTCCAGGGTTCATATCATCGCCTTGCCTGCATGCAAGAAACACGCGCCCACCTGCATGTGCATGAAAGCATGCAGCACTACAAGCCCGCTGGTGGTGATGTGTTGGGCTGCGGTCGCCTGCGGTGCTCCGTCGCGCTTGGTGCTGTTGCTGTCGATGCAAACGAAGCTGCTGTTCATGCGGTGATGGAAGTGATGGAGACAACCCTTTTGCGTGACGCTGCCCTCGCCTTGCTCGCATGCGTGCTGTCATCCTCCCAACAACAACAACAACAACAACAACAACAACAACAACAACAACAACAACAACAACAACAACAACGGCAGCTGTTAAGATCACTCAGCATGCACTTGCCCAGTGTATCATTGCGACTGACTTCACCATCGACGTCTTCTTCATCATCTTCGCCATCAACACCTCTGTGCAGCCTGAGCCTGACAGTCGACGACGTCAATGCAAATGTGTGGCGCAGCGGCGCGGATAAAGCCGTCAAAGCGCAGTTAAAGGTTGGAGGCGTGTGCATGCAGGCAATTACTGCTGCAGACGCTACCGACCCATCGCCAATTGTGTTACTGCGCACCCGCCCTCCTCTTTCATCCACAATCACGCATTCACAGCGACCAACAGGAACAGCGCCACCACTTGCTCCTTCCATGTCTTCTTCTTCTTCTGCTGCTGCTGCGACAAGCAGCACGCTGCCGTTCCTTATTCTAGACGTATCCCTGCCGCAACAACAACAACAACAACATCATCATCATCATCAACAACAACAACAACAACAACAACGAGCTGAGCGAGGTGCGGCTGCGCCATCAGTGCGTGTTCGCTGTGGTGGTGCTACTCTGGTGGGATGGATGCCAGCACTCACACCAGCCGTTCACGTGTGTCACGGCATCATCAACGGTGTCATCAACACCATGGAGCGCACGCTTGCATACGCTGTCAGTGGGGATGATGACCAGCACACGTCAAAGAGTGGTGTCAGTACACGCTACGCCAGCACCAGCAACTTGGCTGCGGGGCTGCTTGGTCTCTCAGCCCACGACCACCTGACTGACGCCCTCACGCCAGGTGCCACTTCGTCTGCATTAGATGTGGATGTGGATGTGCAAGAGTTGTCGTTGCTCGTGCCGACAACGGCAGCAGCAGCTACTGCATCAACGCCTGCAGCAGCAGCAACTCAACATGACCCGACGCTCCTTGTGTTCGTTCTGCAGAGCACACGGGTGTGCGCGTCAGAGTGGCCCTCAGCAGCTGCGCAAACAGCAGCAGGGAATGTGAACGAGACGCAAGGACAGCCTTGGTGGACCCATGGAAACATTGCCCAAGACAAGGGCCCAAATGCATCCTTTGACTCGACGCTGGATGCCGCATTTTCGCTGGGATCAAACGGACTCTTTGGCTCATCCACTCGCGTGCAACTGCAACTCAAAGGCATCTCCGCGTACACGCTTCGCCCACGCACCACTGCAGACTCGTGGCTGGACGTGTACAGGCACCAGAGGGACATGACACTGAGGGCTCCCATCATCACAGACCTCGATTTCACGTTCACGCTTGTGCCCACGCATAGAGGCGGCGGTGGTGCTGCTGGTGGCAGTAACAGCGGCGCTGATGTTGATGGTGCGCAAGGCATTGATTCGCATGCAACACTCACACACGAACTGCTTGTGGAGGCTCCACACGAGATTGTTGCGTTTCTCAGCAACGACCAAGTGGCCGGAATGCTTGAGGTTGCCATGAGCAACGCACTGCCGTTTGCCCTGGCGCTTACGCACTTACACTGGCGTTCGCCGCCACCACCAAACTCTTCTTGGCAAGAGCGGGTGGGCTGCGTCACGTCTGCAATGACACGCCGCAGGCGTCTGCAAGATGACAGCAATGCAGCCGATGCGGAAGGTGATGTGTATGCCACGTCGTGGTGGATGGCACAGGAACGGCTGGACAGGTACGCAGCAAAGCTGACTCGCTCGCCAGGCCGCGATGTTGCTGGTCGCTGGTCGTCACTGACACCAACGCGTGCGCACAGCAGTGACATTGCGCACACACAACTACACCAAGAGCAGCAGCAACATCAACGACATCATCAACGACAATCGAAGCAACCACAACAACAAGAGCAGCACCAGCACCAGCACCAGCACCAACACCAGCACCAGCAGCGCCGGCGACTGCGAAGTGCAGACACCTCGCCATCACCGTCACCAACGCATTCCCGCAACCGTCGTCGCGTCCGCGGACACACACGCAGCGCGAGCATGGGCACAGCGACATCACCATCAACGACAGCAGTGACAGGGGCTCCAACAACACCGGTAGCAGCGGGACCGGTGTTGAGCGGCATTCCGGTAATGATGACTGCATACGCAGACGATGATATTGTCAGCGATGTTGGTGGTAGACACGCCAGCGACGGTCTTGTTGAAGTGGACGAAAGGACTTTCCATGCCACCTGGATCTCGCAGACCCACGGGATACCGACACGCCCAATCCCAGCAACAGGGACTCGCAGTCCATCAGGGTCGTTTTCACAAGCACGCCACTCTCTCCACTCTCTCCACTCTCCGCACCTCGCAAGCAGCCACTACGAACATCGCCATCACCGCCACCAACAACATCAACGTGGGCATCGCCGCACAGCATCGAATGCGTCGGCCATCAGCTTCGCCTCCGCTGCGTCCTCGGTGCTGTTTGGAGGAGCGCGGGCGCCGCAGTTGAGCCTGGACATGGCCGTGTCGCTTGCCCGCGTCACCCTTGTCATGTACAAGGCAGAGAGCCCCGCACACGATGTACCGCCACACAACACCTTTGTTCCGCAGCAAGAGCAGCAGCAGGGACGCAGTCAGAGCGAGCAAGCATTTCACAAACAACCGCACCATGCCCTACCACGCCACAATCAATCACACCACAACCAATCACACCACGACCGACTCAGCTTCCAGCACCAGCAGCACCAGCAGCAGCGTCAGCAGCTTGGTTCGCACAACGCCGTGTTGCATGCACAGGCGCTGCGGAATGTGGCGGGGATTGTTGGCTTGGCGGTGCCGCTGCTACGTGTGCAAGTGATTGGTACAACGTTCCGAGCCCGCACCAGCGCCGTCGAATCGACGTACTCGCTTCTGCTTGGCGACGTGACCCTATGCACACAGCGGCATCGCCCCATGCGCACGTGTGTGCGGCTGGCAACCGAGCTGTTGCGAGATGACATGTGGCAGCACACGCTTGTTGGTGTTCGATGCGCACACGCAGATGGTGTCGTTGACAGAAATGCTGATGAACACGATGACTATGTTGACAAGGGTGATGATGATGATGATGATGATGATGATGATGATGATGACGACGACGACGGACACCATCGCCATGTGGAGGATCGCTGTCCTGACGCATTTGCCGCCAAAGCCACAACTCATCCCTACCACGTTCCAGTCCCACCCACAACATCATCCACAGCACGACCAACAGACGGCGACGACAACGCACGTGGCATCCCGGCTGCTGTTGCCAACAACGCAACCACGGCTAATGGTGACAATGAAAACTCTCGTAGTCATCAGAGAGGCGCTCGCGCTGGTGTGCGTACAGTGGAGGTGGCGGCGCGAATTGATGTGCGTTTGTCCAAGACGGACGATCCTGCACACGTCTCTGTGCAGCTGCCGGGCGGTGTGTGTGTGCACATCCCCGAGGAAGTTGTTCTTCTTGCACTCGAGGGTGCGCGCGCACATGCTGATGACATGGCTGCACTGAGCGCTGTCTTCTCGTCCCTCACGACGTTGGGTGGTGCTAAGGAAAGCTGCGCTGGCTGCGTTGCCGACAACGACGACCATGAGGGCCACCCACAGTCAGAGCAGCAACACCCAGGTCATCACTGCCGCGGCGGGCTCGGTGGTGGTCAACCACACCCGCACACAAACGACACATGTGCGGAAGTTGCTGCAGGCGATGGTGCTGGTGATGTGCTGAGCCGTGCTATTCCGTTGACTGCTGAGCTCAGGGTGCGGCACATTGTGTTTCGCGTGTCGGGAGGAGCGCAAGCAACAGGAATGACGGCCGCTTTGGACGATACCTCGTGTGATGGCGGTCACGTACACCGTGGCGGTGTCAGCACACACGCAGAAGAGACGTGGTGGCTGGAGGCTAGCGTGCACGGCATGACTGCCAGCTTGTCATCATCAGCACCATCGCAGTGTAACATGACAACGGTGCCGAAAGTTGTGGCCACCATGACTGACTTGTCTGCATCACTGGGATGCACCGCACTACCAACTCCCTGCTGCCTCCTCCCAACAGGCGGGCTCATCACACTTGAGGTGGGCAGTGCTTGTTCATATGGTGTCTGTCTGTCTGTGTCTGTGTCTGTGCTCGTGTACGTGCCTGTGTGTCTGTCTGTCTGTCTGTCTGTGTCTGTGTGTGTGTGTGTGTCTGTCTGTGAGTGCATCTCAGTGCCCGGTGTTGATCATCACATCAAATAAGTCACGGGAGCCGCTTCATATTTTGTCGGCCGTGTTAAACAGGCAAGCATTGGCGTTGCAAGCACGTTCCCCTCTGAGCCGCCATCGACACACGTTGCGGTGGCCATTCGAGACATCGACCTCACGGTGCGCATTTTGCGCTCATACTTTGTGTGTGTGTGTGTGTGTGTGTGTTTGTTTGTTTGTTTGTTTGTTTGTTTGTTTGTTTGTTTGTTTGTTTGTTTGTTTGTTTGTTTGTTTGTTTGTTTGTTTGTTCGTTTGTTTGTTTGTTTTTTTGCTTGTTTGCTTGCTTGTTTGTTTGTTTGTTTGTGTGTGTGTGTGTGTGTGCGTCAAACAGTTCTGTGTGTGTGTGTGTGTATGTGTGTGCGTGCGTGCCTATGGCTGACCGCTGGTGTGATGTGGTTTTTCGTACAGGTGCAACCCGAGCTGCTGTTTGTCTGGCCGTTCATTCGCACGTCGGTGACTACAGTTGAAGACCTGCTTCATGCAGCCATGAATCGGTGAGCAGCATGAGCAACGCCTGTATTGACCGTTGTGGATGCTGTGTGTCATGAGCGCATCCTTGCCTTTACTGACTGTGCGGTGTGTCAATTGTGTGCCTACTTTTCGTCCGCGCATCCTGACAGCCTGAACGAGAGCATGAGGCAACCTGAGGGTGTACACGCTGGAACATCTCACACCGGCGGCACTACTCCCGTGCCTGCGCAGGAAACGCAGTTTGATCTGCAGGTGTGTCTCTGTGTGTGTGTGTGTGTGTGTGTGTGTGTGTGTCTGTGAATGGGTCTGTGTGTGCGCGTGCGTGTGTGTGTGTGTGTCTGTGTGTGTGCATGCAAGAATGCGTGCGCCTGCGTTGGGTGCATGAGTGTGTGCGTACTGGCGGACATGCACCTTTGCCCCACTACGCAAGCCCCCATGCCGCGTTTTGGTCCTTCCTATCCCATGCACCTGCATCCGTTGCTCATGCCATCGCTGCGATTTGCAGATGGGGCGCCTGGTCACAGTTTCTCGCCCACATGAGACTGACGCTGACATGCACGATCCTCTTGTTATCGACGCCGGAACAATGGTGGCCACTGCACACAGCTGTGAGTACAACCTACTGCGGTGGAGCTATGTGTGGGGGATGTGCCATGAGTTTGCACCTGTATGCATGTTGTGTGTGCGCGCGAGCGTGTGTGTTGCATGCGCTGATGGTGTGAATGCACTCTTCCTCACCATCCATCCAATCTCTTCTTCTCCTCCCACCTGCAGTGCTGTGGCGATACTTCCAACCACGCCGCGTTTCGCGTGTGCTCGTTCGCCCACTGCCACTCCTCGCTCTCGATGACTCAACTTCAAATGCGCAGCGGCAGTGCGTACTGTCCTGCTGGGACCCGGTGCGTTTGAGCGTCTATCTCTCTGTGTGTGTGTGTGTGTGTGTGTGTCTGTCTGTCTGTCTGTCTGTCTGTTTGCCTGTGTCTGTGTTATGTGTCTGTCTGTGCACATTCTCTGTGCATGTGCCTGTGTGTGTCTGTGTGTGCGCGCACTCTGTGTCTGTTTTGCTTTGGACGGTGTGCAAACTCCACGACACAACTGACACAGCGACCTCCCTCCCTCATTCCCTCCCCTCCCCCGTCTCTCCTTCCCCTCTCCAATAACACAGGTGGACGCAGCGTATGTTGTTGCTCGCGTCATTCACTTGAATGTCGCTGATGAAACTGAAATCGTGCTGCCTCAAACGGCCCCCACAGCCAGAATTTGGAAGGTAACTTAACAACGATACCAACAACAGCAATATCAGCATAAATGCGTAGATGCTACGACGTGCCAACTGTTGCGTCTGCATGTGTGTGTGTGTTTGCATGTGTGTGTCAATGTGTGTGTGTGTCTGTCTGTCTGTCTGCCTGTCGACCTTTCTGCTTGGTTGTGTACCTGCCATACTGCCAGCTTGCTCGCCTCCCAACTTGTCTTCCCTTGGTGACTGATTCCTCGCTTCTCCACTTTGTTCACGCCTTGTCTGCTTGTGTGACCGGGCCCAATGCGTGCAGCTGTCCTGGCAAGGTGGTGCGCGCACAGGCGAGGACTCGACGCAGTTGCTGGCTGCAGTCTGGCTGTCGTCCGTGCCCTGCCCAGAGGAGCAATGCCGCTTCACCATGACCACCGAGCTCGCCTCCACCACGCTGGCACTGCTCACACCTCGCACTATGTTCAACCAGCACCAACCACGCAACGCTGCGTGTTTCAAGACGACTGCGTGGCTCAGTCCAACAGCATGCCGCCCAATCTTCCAGCTGCAACTCCCCTCTGCAAAGGCCAGCGTGTCAGCTGCAGCATCGCAAGCAGCCGCAGTACCAACACCGCCAGCGGGTATAGGTGAAGTGCACCCGCGTCCACCACGCCTGTTTGTGGCTGCAGAAGTGGAGGTGTCGCTCGTGCATTTTCCCCATCTTGCTGAGCAGCCGCACACGCGCGTGCTCACGATGACCGCAAGAGCGCGAGGTACGCAGGCCAGTGCTTCCTCACGCAACAACACCAACAGCAGCACCAGCGATGCTCAGCCTGCGCCACCGAAGCTGCGGTTGAATGTTGACGCACCTGTTGTGGACGCCACACTCACGCCACAATGCCTCGATGATCTGCAGCGCATGCTTGCTCACGTTCACTTCATCACGAAAGCAAGCGCAACTGCACACCGCGTGTCAACACAGGCAGCGCAGCAGCAACAACAACAGCAGGAGCGGCATCAAGAGAAGCGATGTTTGCCGCAATTGTGGCAACACGTGTTACACAATACGACTACGACTGATTTGTGGATCACTGCACCACCTGTTGCAGCACAAACAGGCAACACGAACCACAGTAATCACCACGACAGCGCGGATGATCGGCCGGCATTTCGTGTGTTGGCGGGACAGCATTTCCCACTCGACATTGTGGCGCGTGCACGCCAATTTGCTGTCGTCGCGGCTGCAGCGCCTGTTGTGCATGATGGCGGCGATGATGATGGCATGATGGTGGCAGCAGCCACCATGGTCACGACAGCACGTGCGCTTCGAGTGCCGCATTGGACGCTGGTGGACATGCGTACGCGCACGCACAACTCGCCCCTGTCCATTTCGCTCCAGCCATCGCATGAAACAGCAGGCTGCGCCGTGAACGAGGGCAACTCCGAGCAAGGTGCATGTTCCGCCTGGCTCCATCGCTCACCGAGCCGACGGCATGGCACCGCCTTGCCCGAAGAAACTGATGCCAACGACAATGTGGCAAATGATGATGCCAGTGGTGGTGACGATAGTGGTGGTGATGGTGCCTGCGATGGGAACGCGACGCTTTGGAGGCTGAGTGGACAGCTGCGCGTGCACAGTGCGCTGCCCATGGGGGTGTGCGTGCATGTGTGTGCTGCGTCACCGCCAACAGCAGAGGGAGGAAACGTGCGGTTTCAGACCCACCACGCCCTCACCATTCCCGCCAGCACAGACCACACATCTCTGCTGCTGTCAGCGGGTGCAGAGGTGGTCAGCGCCAGTGTTTCGCTACATGCGCCCGTGTCACCGGGCGGAGAGGAAGGCACTCTTGCTGACAATTTCGAGAGTCAGGACATGCACTCTGCACCCATGTGCACGGTGGTGAGCTTGAAGGTGCCACGAGGTACGAGACAGCACATACCACTTGCGGCAGGCCTCTCTTGTCAGGCAGTTGTTGATATCGTGCAGGGTGTTGTGTCGCTCCAGCTACTGCCCATGCTGAGTGTGCGTAATGCATTGTCATCGCACGCGATCGAGCTGTTCGCAACACCTGCTCGCCCCGCCGTCGTCTGCCCGGCGCAGACTGTGACGCCAGTGCTAACCTCCTCGTGTCTCATTGCACATCATGGTGGCGGCGACCACGAACCTGCGATGAGGATTGCACCCGGCAGAGTTGGATGTGCACCTGATGGGTGCTCGATTGTGATGTCTGCACGCCAGATGGCCACCATCACAGCACATCCAAACCACTGCTTTCTCGTTACAGCGACAGAACCGACAGCTGCAGCCACATCTGCATCTACTCGGGACTGTCACGGCCCTGTTCTTGCTGTGCGCTATTCAGACAAAGACGCGGCGGTTGGCGCGAACAACGACAATGGGCTCACCAATCGTGACGCACACGAGAACGCTTGGCCTTCATCACCACCACCATCCTCATCATTGGCAGCGGCGTGTCCTTCTGCTGCTGCTTCCATCCTCTGTGTTAGCGATGGATTTGATGTGAAGAACAACACGGACCGCTGTATCACGCTCGAGCTTCTGTTCACTGGCGGTGGTGGTGGCATCGGTGCTGCTGACAACAACGTGGTCGGAGTCGACAGTGTTGGTATCACATCGTCAATCGTCATGACAGTGGACGCAAACGCCACCACGCCACATCACGTGCTCGCACGTGGGCCACCGATTCCCATCCGTTCGCAGCACCTGCGCCTGCGCATCTGGCTGCGCACTCACCCCCATGATGATGATGGTGATGGTGGGGAGGGTGGCAGCTGCGATCCCCGTTGGGTTGGAGAATGCGAAGTGCCTGCTCTGGATGCGCACCGGGTGTGGTCAACTGTGGCGCTGTTTGCCAGTGGTGATGGCAGCAATGCTGATGGTGTCACCAACGGCAAGACTTTTGTGCCGAGTGCTTCTCGCCACCGCCTTTGCGTTTCTGCAGAGGTGAAAGACCATTTCCACGTGCTCGTGTGTGTGTGTGTGTGAGTGTGTGTCGGTGCGTGTCTGTGTGTCTGTGTCTGTGTGTGTGTGTGTTGTGGTACATTGCTTGCCTGGCCATCAGTCTGGCTGCATTCAGAATTGGTGTACTTTCGCCTCCCCCCCCCCCTTCACTCACGCTGGTGCTTGTGGTGTGCTTGTTTGATTTGACAGCGCAAAGCATCACACATCTCCGTGCACGTGTGGCCAACAGGCCGACTGGACAACTTGTTAGACCGTCCGCTTGACGTTCGCTGCGCAACACGACACCACGCAGGCAGCAGCAATCGGTCGCACGTCGCACGCGTGCACCCCAAGTCGTCATTGTATGTGTATGGGGTTGAACCTTCCTTCCGTCTACTTGAAGCGCCGATGCTGCCACTGGGCCAGCCTTCCTCCTCCTCCTCCTCCTCCTCCTCCTCTTCGTCCAGCACACCGTCGTCGTCGTCATCGTCGTCGTTGTCGAAATCCATTCGCAGCAATGTGCAGACGTTTACGCTTCGTGCTTGTGATATGCGCACGACAGCAGCAGCCACGACAGCAGAGGAACCCGTGCGAACGACAACACCACCATCACAACAACAACAACAACAACAACAACAACAACAACAACAACAACAACAACAACAACAACAACAACAACAACAACAACAACGAGAGTTGGACGTGGTGTGCGATGAGGCCGTACCCGTGCGTGCACACGTCCAACAAGGAGAAGGCGGCGACGTTCCACTGATTGTGCGACTGGAGAACAGCAGCGAGTTTCTCGTGTCTATCAGCAACCTGCTCCCCTCTGACGCGTTTGTGTGTATTTCACGCCGAGCCGGTGTGGCCTCGCACCTCTCTGCTCTCAAGCAGTGGCTGCAGGATGAGCAGCGCAGGCAGCCGAGGATGAACCAACAGGAACAAGAGGGTGATGCAGCAGACGGTGAGATGGGTGGTGCAGCAGAAAATCGAGTGCGTGATACAGGAAATGGCGAGGCGAAGAGCCGAAGGCAGCAGCCTGTTGAGGAGGTATACCAGCGCAAACCTCAATACGAGCACCCATTGCCACAGCCGTGGTACCTGCTGCGGTCACTGGCTTCACCGTTGCACCTCGCACAGCTGTTGGCCGATGACTGTGGTCTGGCCTCTTCTTCACCACCATCGCTTCTTCTCATCGTCACATCATCGTCATCGTCCTCGTCGTTGTTGTCATCGTTGTCGCCAGCAACAAGAGCAGACATGCCCTCTGTGCCGTCACCAGCAAACCCCATGACCCCAACACTGGCTGCATGGGACTTCAAGTACACGGCGGCTGCGCTGTCTGCATGTGGGATGAGCGAATGTGCGTTTCACGGCCATCTCTTCTCAAAGCGTGAACGAATGCAACTTCAAGCTTCTGCTGCTGCTGCTGCTGCGAGGAGCGTCAGTCGGCATAGCGTGAGTGATGGCAGCGACGACACCACCAACGCTGGTGTGCGTGTCCGGCAATTCTTGAAGGGGAGCTCACGTGTAGTGGTGCTGTCTTCCTTGTCGACATCAGCGTCATCTTCATCCATGCTCGGCCAAGCGACAGCGACAGCGACGTCACTTCTTGCTGCCGGTGTTGTTGCACCGCCGCCACCAACGCTGCCACTGCACGTATCGCTCCACACACGCGTGGAGATCTTTCGCCTGCGGATACAAACAGATCCTGAGGCTCACAGCACACCCGCGGCTGCCCATGCCGGGCTACGACAAGAACAAGAACGAGAACATCAACGGCAGCGGCACGCTGGATCGCACCAACCTCCGCTGTCGCCTCGACCAACAACTCCGCTGGTGCAATGCCTCGTATTGTCCGTGGAAGACATTCGCCTGTCTGTGCGCCACGGCCCGAGCGCCAACCCGTACATTCTGTGCGCTGGCGTCGTACCTGTGGTCCTGAGTGCACGTGAGCTGCGCATTGACACGCCACCCCACCCTGCGCTTGAGTTTTCGCGTGTCCTGCACTGCTGTGGGCGGCATGTGGCTGCATCGTCATCACCGTCATCATCGTCATCGTCATCGTCATCGGGGTCGTCAAAGGCGTCCGCAACGCATGGTTCAGGAAGCGCCATGCACGGAAATTTGTACATGCGCGCCGTGATCATGGATGGATTTGGCGTCCACGCGCTGCGGGAGATTGCTGTTGGGCTCGGCAGCGTGGAGGCCTTCGTTGAAGACGCCTTCTTATATGCGGTGATTGGCATGGGTCGGGCATTCCTTCCTGCGCTTTCCCGCATCGCCAACACGGGGAGCAGCAACGAGCTGGCGTCCTCATCGCATGTGCGGCCTCCAGAAAACTTGCCCGGCACAACAACACCCAGTGACAATGTGAGCACAACATCCTCGTCGCCGTCATCATCATCGCATTCGTCGTGGTCGTCGTTGTGGAAGAAAGATGGATCGCTGCCGCTCCTGCTGGTTGCGCCACCGCGTGCAGTGTCCATCCAGCAACTGCACATTGACGCTGTGCACGCAGAGATTACGGCGCACGCCTCGGCCTTTCTCTTCCTCAGCCTTGATCGCGCGGTGCTGCACCTGCCACGTTTGGATGCGGAGAGCGTAGGACACGTTGACAGCCGCGCACTCGCCGAGTCTGTGGCGCGCCACTACCAAGGGCAGGCAGTGAAGCAAGCCGGGTGGGTGGTTGGCTCCCTGGGTCTGTTGGGCAGCCCTGCAACTGGCATTCGCCGTGTGTTTGGAGCATTTGGGGGTCTCCTGGAGGCCGCGCTGGGACCCGCGCCACGACACGGCAACGGCACTCTGCCTACCCAGTCGCCGTCTTCATCGGCATCCGCAAGCGCGTACACGCGAGGCGGGCGCGCTGGACGCGTGGCGGTGGCATCGCAGCACTTGCTGGCACAGACAGCAACTTCACTGCTCACGTCTGTGGAGACAGCGGCCAAGAGCGTTGGCCGAAACATCGGACGCATGACCATGGATGAGCACCACCAGCGATTGGGGTGAGCCTGGCTGTGTGTGTGTGTATTTTGTGGCGTGTGTGTCTGTCTGTCTGTCTGTCTGTGTGTGTCTGTTTGTTTGTTTGTTTGTTTGTGTGTGTGTGTGTGTGTGTGTGTCTGTTTGTTTGTTTGTTTGTTTGTCTGTTTGTTTGTTTGTTTGTTTGTTTGTGTGTCTGTGTGCCCGTGTTGTGGAGTGTGGAGTGTCATGTGGTGGGCCATGAGTGTTTGTGCTTGTTTTACTTCTGGGTTGAGCGTTGTTTCTCTGTCTGCGTGTAGAGCATGTGAATGTCCGCATATCGACTGATTTCTGACGCACGCCTTCATTCTTCATGCGCGGTCAGGCAAGAGCGACGGGTTGCTTGGCAGTCACAGCAGGAGTCGCTTGGGCGTCACCTGCTGCATGGGGCACAAGGATTTGGCATGGGTTTGCTTGCAGGCATTGCCGGTCTGGCTGACCAGCCCATTCGAGCCTCAATCTCTGACCAAGCTTCGTACGTTTGTAGATGAGCATGAATGCTAAATGTGGTATTCGTACATTTGCTCTGTGTTTGTGTGTGTGTGTGTGTATGTGTGTGTATTAGTGTGTGTATTAGTGTGTGTGTGTGTGTACTTGAGTCTGCAAGTGTGTGCGTACTTGAGTCTTCAAGAGTGAGCTGGGATTGAGTGTAAGCTTGTGTGTGTGTGTGTGTGTGTGTTCGCCTGGCAGGTGTGTTTGGCATGCGTTCCTCTCTCCCCTGGTGCAAGCTGACTAAGAGCGTCTTCCACATGTGTATGCTGTGCACAGGGTGTCTGGCGTGCTTGCTGGTTTTGGGCGAGGCGTTGTTGGTTTGGTAACGAAGCCCCTAGAGGGCACGTTTGGTCTCGTTGAATCAACATCGCGCGGCATTGCCACCCTCTTCCCCACCGACCGCCCGCGTGCCGTTCATGGAGCAGCGGTCCTGGCGTCCCCGCAAGCGCGCCTGGGGGACAGGTGAGGAGGAGACAGGAGGGGGGAGGTGGAGGAAGGGGCAGGTCTGTGTTGTATGCTGATTTGTTGGCGTGTTGTGATACGGTCGCTGATCATATCGCTGTCAGTGTCGGGCAAAGTGCAACTCACAATCGCCACGTGCCATGTTAGTGCATTTCCTTCCTTCCTCCCCCTTGCTTGCCGCTTTCTCATTTTCTCACTTATTTCCCCCCCCCCCCACACACACACACACATAAACATGTTCATGGGCAGACATGGGCTGCTGTCGTTGTGGCTGGCAATGCTGTCTTCGCCCTGGCTCTCATCGGCAACCACATGCCCTGCGCACGCAACACTTGTGAACGCAACGCTTGTGGCTGAGACGCCCGCGTTACACAATGTGCTGCTGTGGTGGGATTGCTCGGGACGGGTGGTGCTGACTGCACGCCGTGGTGATGGCGAGGTATATGAGCTGTTGGCGATGCACGTGCGAGACGCAGTGACGTGGGAGGAAAACACCATGCCCACCACAGCAACCATGATGGCAACACTGCAACGAAGCGGCCTCGCAATACACGTGCAGGCTACGCGGGCACATGCCACCGCAGGCACGGCAGTGCGTGGTGCACTCACGCTGGCCGTGAAGAAGGTTGCCCGCAAGCACGAAAATGGTGGCGATGATGCCAGTGTTGACGGCCGGAACAGCAAACAACAGCAACCACGTGGCGGTGAAGGAGATGCATCAGACAGCGAGGTTGTGAAGCTGACTGTTGCATTGGGTGACAGACGAGTGCTGCAAGGGGAGCTCACAACACACAACGCAGCCCGGCTGCTGCGCTCTTTATCAGGATGAACGTGCTTGGGCAGAGGAGCAGGGGAGTAGGGGTAGCTGAAGTTAATGTATTGTTGTAACAACGTGAACGCAAGGGATAAACGAAGGAACAATCAGGACATCATGAAGAAGCAAAATGAAGTCACTGAAGGAAAAGTGGGGAGGATGCCTTGCTTGACGTGTTTTCAGATCTCTGACAGAGCTGTCGTGTTCTCCTGAACGTCGCCAATGTCAAATCCCTCCAGAGTCGCCAGTTCTCTGCGCTGGGGGTTCGTGCAGTCGCTCTGCTCTGCAGGGCTCAAACGCGCACGCTTCTTTGCATGACATTTCACGGCTATGACAGCAAGTACCACAACGCCGCAGACGGCACCGGCAATTATTCCTGCCAGTGCTCTTGTTGTCAACCGCTCCGTGCTGCTGCTGGCCTCCTCAACATCTTTGGCTGTGGTGATGTGTGCTGTTGTGGTGGTGGTGCTGACGATGGTGAAAAAGTTTGGCAATGATGCCTGTGGGGAAGTTTCGTGATTGGCGTTCGTTGCTGTGGAGGACGGCGCTGTTCGCATGGTTGCTGATGAGGTTGTGGCTCGTGGTTCCTGTGATTGGTCACGGGTAGTCAATGGCTCAGGCCCTGCCGCACTCTTTGTGGAAGACGAGCTTGGCGGTGGTGGCAGGGGCATGGATGTTGTTGTTGTTGTTGTCGTCGTGGTTGTTGCTGCGACTGTTGTCGTTGTCGTTGTCGTTGTCGTTGGTGCTGCAATTCTTGCCTGCAAACTGTCCGCCTCGAGCACTCGCCGAGTTGCGTTACCACTCTCATCTCCAGAAACGTAGACGAGAAGTAAGACGTGTTCTTCAGTAGTCTCTGTGTGCACTGGACGAATGTCAACGATGCGAACGCGTGTTGCACTCACGTTTGCCGCGGCGGCAACGCTTGCGACCGTGTGCATTGCGTCTTGCTGAGAGAATGCAGCAAAGGGCTGCCAAACAGGCACAAGCAATGTTTCCTGTTCTGATGCGTTTGCAGGCGTTGTTGTGGGCGTGGGTGTTGTTGCCGTCGTGGTTTCGTTGATGAATGTTGTGTTGGTTGAATCGTTCGCAAAGCCGGTGACTGGCAGAGAAGTAGCGGGACCGCAGAGCGCAGGAAGGCACGTGCCCTCATCGCTGTGCAGAAACTGGCCATCTGAACCAAGCAAGGAATTCCAGATGGAGCAGTTCTTCGCATTTGCCGTGCACAGACAGAAGCGTTGGAGATGGGCCTGTGTTGCCAACCAAGTGAGCTGAGAGGGACACAGACCTGCGGCTACTGCCACGCCCTCGCCAACGTCCACAGCAAATACATCGCTTCCTTCGCCCGTGCTGTTGACCGTCAAGTTCAGCGGCAAAGAAGCAAGCACGACGGGGTCATATGCATTGCTCTCGTGTGCATCCTTGGCGGGTGGCCAACGGAAGGAGGGTGTCGTGCGCACCACTCGCTCATGTGACACAGGGGTCGCCTGTTCTTCCTCCTTCACGTGACGTGGCTGGTCTGACTGGCGGCGTCGGCGATCAGAGCCAGGATGGACGTCAAATGACAGGTACTGTGAAATGCCGCTGAGACACTGCTGCAGGTCGCTGCGCAAGTGATTGCGGTCCTCGCAGATTGCATCGGCAACATCTCCTTGAGCGGCAGTCACTGCTGCTTGTGCGCACGCACGTAGCTGCGGAATACGTTGCCGAAATGCAGCAACAGCATCGAGTGCAGCAACAATGTCCTGCACGACGTCGTATGCGAGGAGTCCAATAGAACCAATCGCCACCACTGGCCCAGCAAAGCTTGATGCAACGGTGCGCTTAGCAAGCTGCTTGAGCGTGAGCCGCGGGCCATCAAGCACAACGGAAGCCGATGCAGACACTTGCAGGGTGCTAAGATCGCCACGACACAGCAGGTAAATTGCGTCACTCGCTGCGGTCTTGATAGGGTCGGAGCCTGGACACAGCAGTTGCAAGCCAACAGTCGCTGTGACGGTGACGACCGGATTCAGTTGAGCTCCAATGGGGATACATGGGAGTGACGCGCCCTGTGCTCGGTTGCCAGTGTGCCTCAGACAAAGGACCTGCACGTCAAACCCGGTTGGCTTTGCCGTGATGTCTGCAGTGACACCATCTGGACCCAAGCCTGGTTCACAGTCCCGCAATCGCCTGCATTCACTTGGTTCGCCCTCGCACACATATCCTTCGTCGACCGTGCACTGTGTACAGCCGTCATTTGGGTGTCTGTTGCGATCGTCGCACTCCTCGTTTGGCAGGATAATGCCGTTGCCGCAAAAGGATGTACAGTCGGATGTGTCCGGGGCTTCTGCATGAATGATACACTTGTACCCACGCTCAACCTCGCAGTTGGAACTGCACCCATCGCCGTCAATCAGGTTGCCGTCGTCGCACTCCTCGGGGGAGCCTTGCTCTCTGGCAAACATGCCATCGCCACACACGGTAGTGCAGACGCTTGGCTCGCCCTCACAGTACCACCCGATGCGCAGCTTGCAATTGCGGTCACAGCCACCTTTGTTGAATCGCTTGATAGGTACCACGTCTGTGTCACATTGTTCGTTCGCCACGAGGCGTCCATCTCCACACCATGGAATGCAGCATGACGTTCTCAGCAGTTCTGGGTCACAGAATGGACATTTCCAGCCCGGTTCGATTTCACAAGTTGATGAGCAGCCATCACCATCGATAAAGTTACCGTCATCACAGCTGTCGGCGGGGACCTTGAGTCCGTCACCGCAAATCCCTGTGCAAACGCTCACCAGTCCATGATCGATGCACATGTAGCCCTCCTCTATCGTACATGTGCTTGAGCATCCGTCACCATCCCGAAGATTGCCGTCGTCGCATTCTTCTTGAGCTAGCGCAGTGTGAACACGGAAACGGTCACCGCAACGCATGGTGCACTTGGTTGGTCCCGGCGGACCAACATCACAATCCCAACCGGTCTCAATATGGCAGTTTTCATCACACCCGTCACCAGGAACAAGGTTACCATCGTCACAGCTGTATTCACGCTCGACAACCATACCGTCTCCACAGACAGGAACGCAAAATGCGTCAACGAGGTTGGCGGGTGGGTTGTTGCACATGAGACATCTGTATCCAATGTCGCAGCTCGCTCTTGAACGCCGAATAACGTCGCATGGCGCCGCAAACGCGGGGTCGCGGTTGCGACAAAACACGAGGCCGTCCACCAACTCCTCGGCTGAGGTAGGAAAGATTCCAGCGACAGAAAAAACGGTGAGCAGAACAAGCAGCAACTGCACGCTGATGAGGGATCGCGAGAAACGTCCACAAGGTGGATGGCGTCGCCAATGGGCTGGCATAGTGCCTGGTTTGGAGGAAACAAGGCCAAGAGGCTTCTGGGAGTGAGGGAGTGGTGGGTGAGTTTCTCGGCTTGAGGGCAACCCTCAGGGTGAGGAGGAGGAAGGAGGAAAGCTGGAAAGAAGTGAGTCTGTGTGGGCGGCGAAGCAGTGCTGGGGTGCTGATGACACTGTGACTCAGCATTTCTTGTGCTTTCGTGTGTGCCACAATCAGTTTTGGGATTGAAAATGACATGAAAGAGGTGTGGTTAAATGTATTTTATGTAATTCATTCGCCCATCACCATCACATTTTGAACAAGCGAACTACTTTGGCAACTCCTTGTCTGAGGATAAGCTCAGAGTCAGCCCCGCTTGTTGTTGTTGTTGTTGCTGCTGCTGCTGCTGTGACGGTGGTGGGAGGTCATCATTGGAGGGTTGTCTGCTCTGGATGCTGAAGGAGCTGTGTAAGCTGTGGTTACTGCTGTGCTGTGGCTGGTTGGTGATGTGATCCGCCGAACTCAGAGCCGACGCAGGCCTGCTGCCCGTCGTGTTTAGGTCATGCACCTGCCGCAACCTCTTTGTGTACATCAGCCACTCCTACAAAGTACACGCGCGCGTGCGTGCGTGCGTGCGTGTGTGTGCGTGTGTGTGCGTGTGTGCGTGCGTGCGTGCGTGTGGGTGGGTTGCGTGTGGGTGGGTTGCGTGTAAGTTTACGTGTGTGTGTGCGTGCGCGCGCGCGCGCGTGTGTGTGTGTGTGTGTGTGTGTGAGTTGCGTGTACATTGCGTGTACATGGCGTGTTGTGTTGTGCATTGCATGCCATGTGGGCGCGCGTGCGTATGTGTGGCGGTATTCAACATCGCCCCGCATGTCACTGCCACAGAACCCACACACGAGGCAATGACTTACCAGGAACGCGGCATGCATGCTGTGCTCAAACTGTTGTACCGTTTCTTGAGGAATGTCATCACGATCTGCAGGCAACGCGGACGCACAATCGTGAATGAGCAACAGGAACAACGATGAATTACAACAGCGACAACACTCAAGCAACAACGTAAGCAACAACCGAATGCAGCGCAAACAGGCACCACTACAAGCAACGACAGCAGTGACACGTTCGCCAATGCACCTTGTGCGCTGCGGAGGCGGCCTTTGAGCTGGTCTACAAACTCGATGTTGTCCAGCATTCCCCGCTCATATGCCGGCGACAGTGCACAAGGATTTGCCTGCAGGCAAAGCCGTCCAATGCATGTCCGAGTGAGGGTGCACGTGCATAAGTGTGCAAGCGTGTGCGCGTGTGTGTGTCAGGTAGTGTGTGCATGCGGTGCATTTCGGCACACGATGAGCAAGCAAGTCAAACGTCACTCATGCGTTCGCTCACTCACATGAACACACGCCGGCATCGCCCACATCGAACTCACCACTGTGTCGCCTGGCACGTCAAATGGAATCACGAATGGACACAGATCTTGTGGGTCGAGCAGATTCGTGTCAGCAGGCTGCCACCCTGTGTGCGTGAATGCGTGCGTGCGTGTGTATGTGTGCGTGAGCGAACGTGTGAGTGTATGTGTGTGTGTGTGTGTGTGTGTGCATGTGTGTGTGTGTGCGCGCGCGCTCATTTGCAAACATGTCTTGGCTAAAGAACCATGCGTATTCTCATGCTCGAATGCGACTGCAAGGATCACCTGAGGGGCTGATGCGGATGGGATGGTTCCACAAGTTTCGTGTTGGCAGAATCCTTGCTTCTTCTAAATGCCGCCCGAGGGCGCCATAGAACGTGTGATAAGGCGCCTGTCGTCAATCAAAACAAGTTACACGGGCAGCGGGGAACACGCGTGCCCCAAAGTTGCAAACACGAGTGTGTGAGTGTGACGAAGTGCGAGCATGAGGCTGACCGTGTTTGGGTGTGAGAGAAACAGCAACAAGTGTGATGCGGTTGTTTGCGTTCGCAACGGTCATCATGTGCAAAGCACACAGCCCCCAATGCGTCACCTCACCAAAGTAAGATCCTGCGTGCTGTCCAGCAGCAGCGGGCGCGTGTTCGTGCACAAATGCGCTGTCGTGTCAGCGACGGACCTTCAATCCACCATGAAAAAAAAAAAAAAGCAATGAAGGGAAGCGGGTCATAGGCGTCGACACACACACACACACACACACACACACACACACACACACACACACACACATACACACACACACACACACACACACACACACACACAGTGATGTACATGGTCGTCCATGTCAAATATGACATGTGTGAGAGGACCAATACACAGTGCATAAACACATGAATTGCGCGACTCTGACTGCTGTCTCCCCCTCTCATACCATACACACACACTCTCTCTACCTGGCCATGAATCGGACACAGGGCGCGACGACGGTGCATCTGCGGGAGTTGCTAATGTGGAGGACGCCCGCAACGGGGCCGAGCACAACCGTACACCGCACACACTCGTCGATCCACACGTGGCTGTGGCAACAACAGCAGCAGCAGCAGCAGCAGCAGCAGCAACGGCAATAAGACACAGGTGAGGCGTGGCGGGGGGAGAGAGGGTAGTTGATGGATGACATCCATGTGTGTGAGTGTGCGTGTGTGTGCATGTGTGCGTGTGCATGTGCGTGCGTATTGGGAACCAATCACCTCAGGTGGAACTGACCGGAGAGGGGCGAGGATGTAGAGGATGGTGACGGAGCATTTGCTGATGTGCACATCCCGCATGCGCAGCCGACTCTCTTCCCACTGACGACGAAAGGAAGGAAGGAAGGAAGGAAAGGAGAGGGGGAGAGGGTAGGGGAGGTTGAGGTGAGGTGTCCACGTGAGGGCGATGCAAAAACTACTTGTGGACAGCGTGCACACACACACACACACACACACACAAAACACAACACACAGTATACAATATTCAAGTTACGCGCGTCCCCAACCAGTTGCGTGGTGCGGGAGAGCCTGGCGAGGACAGCAGGACCCGTCTCCTCATCCACACATATCAGCGGTTTCGCTTCGGACAAAACCGCCGGTGGCGGAAGAACGAGCCGGTCGCGCACCCACGTCAGCAAAGCGGACATCACAAACGTCTCGGTGATCTGAAAATACAATGCCAAAGGAGAGGGTGTGACAGTGTGTGCGTGCGTTTGTGCATGCGTGTGTGCGTACGTGTGTGCATGTGCATATGTGTGAGTGTGTGCATGCGTGTGTGCGTGCATGTGTGTGTGCATGTGTGTGTTTGGAGAGGACAATGACCGCATGGAACAAACATCACACCCCCTCTTTCTGTACCTTTGAGTATCCGGTTGCACGGTGGTGCTGTTGGTCCAGCACAACCTGGTCAGCAAACAAGCACCAATGCAAAACAGCGTGAGCCATCAATCAATGCCATCGTGTACAGCATACAGCGTTAGCATGGCATACCACAAGCACACGCATTCTAACCAGCCTTTGCAAACAATAACTCCGCCACCCATGCAACAGAAGCCCCCTCTTCAACACCACGACCACGACCAACAGCACCTGACTGAAGGGGCGGTATGCGCCCTCGACCCTGATGAGCCAGTCCAGGGCCATCACGTGTGCAGCCGGCACCCGGATCTCCTGCTCCGGCCGCCCGCTCACCGACCACCGCCGATACGACTCTTCCATCGTGATGAGAAGGAGAGGGGGAGGGCACGTGGTGTGTTGTGTGCATGTGTGTGTGTGCATGTGTATGTGTGCGTGCGTGCGTGCGTGCGTGTGTGTGTGTGTGTGTGTGTGTGTGTGTGTGTGTGTGTACGTGAGCTGATAATCCAGCAGCAGATACAGCGTCGTCACAGATACAAACACTGAAACACACATTAAAACACATGCACATCCATTGTCTACCGAGGTGGAGGAGTAGCGAGATGATATCCTCCATGTGATGACGCAAGAACTTCAACCGCGCCCGTTTCAGTGACGTAATGTGATACACATCTGATGCAAGGTACCACCACAGGGGTCACGGTAAGCGCCAGTGGACAACAGAAGGTGTGCTTCAGCACACGCAAAGACATCAACGGCAATGACACAAGATCATGCACTCACACACACACACACACACACACACACACACACACACACAAAATGCACACGTGGGCTTACGCACATGTTTCCTTCAACTCGGGGGAGGAGAGGGCTGGTGGCAATTCCTCGGTGTGGTCGATGGTTTTGAAGTTGGCCCGCCCATAGTGCTGGTGACGACAACAGTGAACACACGACAGCGGTGGGCATGGGATGCAACAGCATGGACATGGTCACTGACAAATACCCAATCGACAAACCAAAATACACACACACAGATACACAGATACACTCACTCACACACACAAATACACTCACACACACACACACACAGATACACACACACTCTCTCATTCATTCACACACACACACTCACTCACACACCTGGATAAAGAGGAAGAGCAGAAACTCGATCATTGGTACGTGGATCTTGCTTCGCAGCTTCTCTGCTCCATTGGCACACAGGGGCGTCAATATACACAAACATGAGTCATGAGTGGGCAACTGCTTGTATGTTCGTGTGCTGAGCAAGCGATATTGATGGCTGATACCACAGTTGACCTTGTGCGTACCGATGCCCTCGGACGTCTGTTGCTTCTGTTCCTTTTGTGTCAGCTTGAGCCGATGTGCGCTCCCAGGCTCCGAGATGAGGTCAAATGTCTCAAAGTACCTTGAGCGATAAAAGCACACGGGCAGCCATCAGCCGATATGTGGGGTGCCAACGGGAGCAGTAGCGGCAGCACGATGCCCGCGTCTGCAGGCTCACGCACACACACACACACACACACACACACACCACAGACACCACACAAGGAGCTTACACCCAGGCCAGCTCTGGGGAGAGGTTCATGTTGCCTTCCTCGCATGCCCATTCTTTCCAGTCGGCGTAGCTGGTCACGCCAAGCACAAGTAGCACAGGATGGTCATGGATGAGCCGACGCGGGGTTGTGTTTGATTGCGGGAAAGCAACCACGCATCACCAAGTGAAGCTCATGTGCAAGCATCAACGCACTTGAGCACGATGCGTTTGCGGCGTGGATCCTGACTGGGCTTTGCACGCCCCAGCTGCGCAAGGTCTACCAACGCCTACAAGACAAGTGAACGACGGACGTCGCCAACAACAACAACATCATCAGTTGCGACGCAAGCAACGGCAGTAAAGACACAAATGCGCACAAATACACAAATGCGCTCACACACACACACAGACAGACACAGACACACACACACACACAGACACAGACACAGACACACACGCTCACACACAGACACACACACACACACAGACAGACACACACACACACACACACACACACACACACACACACACACACAAATGGGGCAAGATGCCAAAGTCAAACACTTGGCTGTTCAACCCCAACACAACATCCTCCTCAGCCATTGCTGGTTTGTTGTCTTCTTTGGTGGTGCAAGTTGGGAAAAGTGGTTGAAGTTATTGAGAGTTCTCTACAACGACAACACCCAAGATGGCAGACGACAAAGGTGTGTGACGGTGTGTGTTTAAGTACATGTGTGCGCGCTTGACTTGTCAAATGACATTCCCCCACCCTCACTGGTTCTCACATGCTGTCGCTTTGCAGGGGATGATGAGCAAGTGGACTGGGAGAAGCGGGCAGACCTGTTGTTCAGGAAAAAGTCTGTGGACGCCATCAAGAAGTGGGAGACAAAAACCAGGTCTGTGTCGTGTGTGTATGTGAAGGTGTGTGGGCTCGTGTGTGTGTGTATGTGTGTGTATGTGTGTGTGTGTGTGTGTGTGTGTGTGTGTGTGTGTGTGTGTGGGCTCGTGTGTGGATTCGTATTGTTGTGTGCCAATGCATTTTCGAGCGTACGTGCTGTGGTGTGCATGCTATCTTGTGCGCTGGACGAACGTTTTGTCACTGTGAGCTGTTGAAGGTCCCACTTACCTTTCGCCCATTGATACATGCTCGCTGCCTCAAATTGCAGAGAAGAAATCTCTGGAAAGAAGCGGGAGCTCAGACATCTTGTGGGGTGAGTGCAGCCGGCAAGCGTCAACAGCTCCTACACGAACGCACGCACAATACCATTCGCGGCTCCTTCCTCCCACTCGCTCGTCGTTGCAATTGCCCTCGCTTCTTGCTGCAAGCTGACGCGTTGATGTTGAATGCCATTGCCTCCAACTGCACAGAGGGAAGTACCGGGACTTTATCGATGCCGCTGACAGCATTGTGCGCATGGCGGAACTGACGCGCCACACAAGCAGCTGCGTCTCCTCCATTCGATCCAAATGGCTCTCGGTCCGTGTGCACATGCCGTGTCGGTGTGGATTTGCAAACACGCGAGTGTGTTTTGCTCTTGCTGTGCGTTCGTGGAATGAGGCATACGCATTGCACTGCTGCTCCACAAGCAGCAACAAGCAGCCACAAGCAGCCACAAAACGGTCAACAAACACTTCCTTCACTGCCCCTGTGTTCCCATTGCCTCATTGCACCAGGTGTCTGAGTTTCGGCAGCGGTTGGCATATCAGCCGGAAGTGGACGAGTCTGAAGTTGGCGAGTACCGCATCGCGATCCAGATGAAGATCCTCATGGACGCGCCAGAGAAGGTGCGTTTGTGTACGTGACGTGTGTATGTGTGTGTATGTGTACGTGTCGTGTATGTCTGTGTGTGTGTACGTGTCATATGTCTGTCTGTCTATCTGTCTGTCTGTCTCTCTGTCTGCGTGTCTGTCTGTCTTTGGGGACTACACGTGTTCGACGTGGTGTGGTGCTGCTTCCCATTTTTCAACACCACCGACTAAGACTTCTCCAACCCGCGCAAACACCCATGCATTGTTCACTCGCCCGTTGCTCTGCTTCTGGTCTGGTATAAGGTGTGGAGTGCACTTGAACACAACAAGTTTATCCAGGCAGCCATGGTGTACCGCTTTGCGCAATTTGTGCATCACCGACTCCAGTCCGCGTCCTCAAAGTCAGTGAAACGCGCGTGCATTTCCTGCCGTTGTGCGTGCTTGTGTTTGTGGGTATGCGTGCGTGCGTGCGTGCGTGCGTGCGTGCGTGCGTGCATGCTTGTGTTTGTGGGTGTGCGTGCGTGCTGGTGTTTGTGGGTGTGCGTGTATGTGTACGTGCGTGTGCGTGTATGTGTACGTGCGTGTGTGTGTGGGTGTGTGCCTGTGTGTGGTTTGTCGTGGACTTACTTTGTGAGCGCACCGACACGTGTTGCCATCAATGCTCATCTCAGGCGCGTGAACACACGCGAGATTATCGACAATCACTGGACTACAATGGCGCAGTTCTCAGAGGTGAGTGCCTCTTTGTCTGTCCTCCTCTTCCCACCTCCGTCCACACACACACATACATACATACATACATACATACATACATACATACATACATACATACATACATACATACATACATACATACATACATACATACATACATACATACATACATACATACATACATACATACATACATACATACATACATACACATACACACACATGATGCACATACACAAGTACATGTTATGCTGCGGCTGTGTCGCGTCAGCCCCGTGAGTGCACCAACCACTCACAGTCAGTCTCCGCGCATTGCTTACCCACATCCATCACAATCAGAGCATCCAACAAGCGAGCGCACGTGTGCTGAGCAGTGTCGATTCCCCACAGCAGCAGACAAGCGCCGCCCTGGCAGCAACACACCTCCTCTCCCAGTGCTCAACAGCCACCGTAAGCAACGGCCAACGCGCCCACTCCATATGTGATGACAGCGTCCCACACGTGCGAGCGAGCGTGCGTGCGTGCTTGCAAGCGTGCGTGCGTGTGTATGTTGATGTGCACACTTATGTGTGTGCTCGCAGTTGTTCATGTATTCATCACCCTCACACACTCACCAACACCACCACCACCACCACCATCGCCACCTTCGCCACCATCGCCATCACCTGTACGGTGCTATCTTCAGCTCCTGGACCGCTTCCTCTCTGCCCGCGCGTCTGCGATTGCCGACACGCGACAGAGCACCAGTGGTGGCGATAACAGCAAGTTGCAGGCGGTGAGCTGTGACGCACACCTGTCGTATCAGACTCCCTTGCTCTTCTCACAGCGTCACAACCGCACAGCGCCTTTCCTCAGCTGCCCCACACACAACACACACGCACTTACCCGTCACATACACACACGCCTTCACACACACACACACACACACACACACACACACACACACACTCAAACATGCACACACGCCTTCACCCTCAAACATACATACACACACACGCGCGCGCGCCTTACACTCCCCCACAGCTATTGCGTGCGGT